CCCATAATATATACAACAAAAATAATAATTTCGATACTCTTTTGCTAACTGAAACTTTGTTAATTGTAGTGTGAGTACCTCAATTGGATCGCAGAACAATGTGGATTTCCGCATGTTGAACACTGGAGAGATCAAGAAGTAGTACGCGGTTACAAGAGACTTGGGTCTCAACCTGAGACATTCCGTGATGAATGGGACGACGATGATCTAATGGAAGAAGCGTATGAGGATTTCGCTAGGCAAAATCTTATCACTTTTCATCCTTCTCGTTTTCTCGAATCTGGAAGATGATTTGTGACTATAATAAGAGTTAATTTGGTAAATGACAAGATAAAATAAGTTAATTAAGAAAGTAACAAAAAAAAATTTGAGCCTTAAGAAACTTGCACCAAATAAAAAGCATGTTTGTGTGTGCTGCGCGTGGGGGAAAGAACTGAAAATAATGACAACATTAATTGCATGTTTAATGCATTTTTATCTCGTCTCTCTTTTTTCACTCGTATATCTTTTTTTTTTCCTTTGCCTTCTATCATTTCTTCTTCTTTTCATCTCTTTTTTCTTCATTTTATTTTCTGATAATCAACACAAACTCAAAAAAAAAACTCAAATTAATCTATGAAATAATACGGAAATAATCTAATAACTCAAAACTACAAGAGATAACAACAAAATAACATGTTATATATTGAAGTTTATAACACGAAAATATAACACGATATACATAAATATTGTCTTGCTACATGCTATATATTGTAGTTTACTGAAAAGGTTTCGACATTGTTATTTTGCAAATGTACTTCATATTTTAAACACAACTATTATTTTTAATAGCGATTTATATTTACTCATAACACACTAAATAAATCAACACTAAAATCAATACCTTCATCAGCCCAACTATAATCTGTCTCCACATCTTCATCACTAGTAGTAGTTAACACCATTTGGACCAAAGAAATAAAATATCATGGACATGCATGAAAACACTTATATGCACATGTTATAAAGTAGACCGCTAAGTGTAGGGTTAGATGACTATTTTAGTATATATATACGTTAACATTAATATTTAGATATTCACATATAAATATAGCTATGAATCTACAATTATAACATCAACCTAAACATGAAATAAATGAATAATAAAACA